TGCTCCTTCCGCGGGCATTGGCGACTTCTTCTTGGGCTTATACAATGAAGCCTTCTTGCCACAAACACATTTGTTGCCTCTGTCGATCAGAAATTCGTTGTATTCCTGTCGCCCACAGCGCTGACACGCTGAGCACAAACGGCTCATGGCGATCCTCGGCTGTAGTCAACCAAAGCTGGAGAGTTTGGCTGTACTCTCGACTGAGGTTGCCCCTCGAGCGCCACGGGGCGGCGCCGAGGCGGCGCGAACACGCGGCCTCTCCACGGGGGAAGAGGACTTGGTGCTCGGGCCGATATGGCTTGAGGGAGGAGGAGGAGGAGGAGGAGGAGGAGGAGGGGGGGGATGGGGGAAGAGGAGGGGGGGGAGAAGGGGGAGGAGGAGGAGGAGGAGCCAAAAGGTCAGTTTGGACTATGAAATCTTGCGGGGCCTTCCCTTGGACGGCCGATGCTGGCTTGGGCTGGTGAAGGGGCGCTTTGTCCACGACCTCGCCCCGGAACGCTTTCTGGACATGCTCCTGCCACGCATGTTTGACGTGCTCCGTTATGAACGTCAGTGCGCGCTGGGAGTCACGCAAACGCTGACTTGGCCGCGTGGCGCGTGCTCCCAAGGCTCGCAACACCGCGAATGCTTGGCGAGCACCTTGCGCCTCGATCGCACGAGAAACACTCGCAGCAAGAGCATCCAGATACGCAAGCCAGTCTTCTGCTAAAATGGGGCGCGCGCATTCAACAAGCGGCAAGCGGAAAATATGAGCTGCGGCGCAGGCCTCTTTTTGGAATCCTCGCCGGAACTCAGCCCCCAGCCCAAGAGAAATAAAACGTTCCCCGCTAACCCTACGGTTGCAACGCGCCTCGCGGCAGGAGTGCGCAAAGAAAACAAGGAAGCAATGCTGTCGTCGCTTCGTCGCATCAAACCAGGCGCGCTTCAGCGGGGCTATGTGCGGGATGATCTGCCGCGCTCGCGGAGGCAGCCTTGCCCCCCGGGGCTGTTTTCCGGGGCGTCCGAAGCTGACCAGCGCAGCCCACTGGGTCCACATGTTCAGCAGCTCTGCGTGGGCATCGATATGAAGGGAGGGGGGCATACGAGGAAAGAGCCACATGAGCTGCGGTAGAAGATATCAGCACAAATCCGACTTCGAATTCTGTCTATCAGAATTCGACGCGGAACTTACAGAGCGTTCGCACGCAACATCACAGCATGATGCTATTCCTTCGGGGCGTCGGTTCAATCAAGCGTACGGTCAACCTCGCAGCGAGCAGTTTGTGCGAACATCGTTTCGGGCACGAGCATCTGTTCAATGCGTGAGGTGGTAGCATGCATGGGCACCCACGTGTAGTCACCATCCCCCCACGTATTACTCATCCGCAAATGTAACTGCTCCGCAAACGTGCGGAAACTACCATTTGCGTTTTCACGCTCTGGCTGGCCAGGCCTGATCGAACGAGAAGGCACATAACCCACTGGACAGGATACGGCTGGAGAAATTACGGTTGCATCCGCGTGGGCTCTGTTAACCACTGGAGCCGAGTTGCCCCCTTGGTCTGCGATTGCGGGGCGCGCGCGCCAACAGAAGACCGAGGTCCAGCTGGGCAGTGAGGGTGACGGCCAAAAGGGCGCGAGGAGATACGGCACTCCCAAAACAGACGTGCGCACGATTGCGCACCCAACACTGCATGCCAAGCGACACATCCGGCTCAGCAGCAGAGGCCAGCACGGTGCAATACTGGCCGTCGGTCTGCTCCGCTCCGAATTCGGGGGCCTGCCTTCCTGAGCCCCAACGACGTTATTGGATCGATCATGGAACTGCTGTTCAAGAAAGGTTATCTTGCTGCGCATGCGCACCCCGCTGAGGTTAGCGCAGGACTGTGCTAAATTGGTGCGGGCGGAGTGTCTTGACATTCACACTCGCGCACGCGTGCCGCAGTCGCACTCGCGCACGTGTGCCGACAACCGCACTCGCGCACGTGCGCACTGACAGGCGTTGGATCCGTGTGCCGGATTATGTTGGTAGCGTTTGCTAGACGGTGGTTCCGTTTGTGCTGGTGCGAATGTTCCGTCACATGTCGCTGATGTCGTCGGAGGTTCCATGAAAAACTTGGGAGTCCTGGGGCGAGCGTGTGAACCAGTCGGTGATATACTCTTCGGCGGCTGCTTGCCATTGTGCCGCACAGGTAGCGGCGCCAGCGCCTACTGACCAGGCAGACGACGCGCCGCAGTGTGGACAGCGTGGGCGAGTGTAGTCTTGAACTTGGCCAGGATGGCCTCCGACTGCGCTTTGGCCTCGGGCAGCGCCTCGGGAGACGCGCTTCCAACTTGGGGCAATTCATGCACCACCGCCTCCATCTGATTCATGAGCTCGTCGATCGTCGACTGGGCAGGCGGGCCCAGGGTCGCCGGAGAAGCCGCCGCCGCCTGCCTCTCCAGCTCCGCGACGTCCGTCCAGAGTTGGGCGATTTCGTCGGCAGCCGCCTGCAACGCGTGCGTTGCAAGCTTCAGGCTCTCCTCCGCGGTCGCATGCCTCCTCTGGGAGCGCTCGAGGGCCGCGCGGGCCCCGTCGAGACGCTTGCCGAGAGGCAGAAGATCGCTCAGCTGCTCCTCGCCCCGCCCAGGGACGCATCCTGCGGGATCGCTTCCAAGGCAACTTCCAACTGCTTGGACTCGGCCAGCGCGCCGCGCGTGGTCGACGTACCTTCCGGCGCCGCTGGGCCACCGCCCAGAGGGGGGGGGCAGCCGCGCTTGGTGGGGCCGCAGTCGAGGACGACAGCGGAGGCATCCTCGCACTCTTCGCCATCTTCTCGGCGACGACTTTGAGCTGTTGCTGAAAACTGGTTGCCCGTGGACGTGTGTGCAGACGCAGAGGTCGTGCTGCCGATACCATCCAGCGGGGACGGCGGGGGCTGCGAGCGCTTCACAGCATCGTGATAGCACGGCAAAGGCGAAGTTGGGATAATATAGTCTCACAACTGTCTCAAGCCAGCGCTTGAGCAAAGATATCTGCCGCCATCGGGGCGCCCAGCGTGCCCACCGGGGTGCCCAGCGTGCTAGTTCCCTAAAAAAAACTCCCCCTGGGGCTTCGGCCCGCCCTGCCAGCCACCCGACAGGGACCAGAAACGACTTCAATGTCGGGAAAAATCACCGAAGACGGCCCAAGATGACCCCCAAGAGGGCCAAGATGGCCTCCAAGTTCGCCCAAGATGGTCCAAGATGGCCTCCAAGACGGCCCAAGAGGGTCCAATATAGTCTCCAGGACGGCCCAATATGGTCTCAAGATGACCCAAGACGGCCCAAGAGGCCCCTAGGAGGTCTCCAAGAAGGCCCAAGAGGCCTCCAAGAGGTCCTCCAGAAGGCCCGACGAGGCCAACACGATTAGTGTTCCTCAGGTTTGTGTCGGATTTGCGCGTTTGCTTTTGCTCGGCCTTCCGACGGCCCGAGACGGCCCAAGAGCCCCCAAAGATGGCTCCAAGGTCGCCCAAGAGGCCTCCAAGATGGCCCCAGAACGGCCCAAGAGGCCCCCAAGACGGCCCAAGAGGCCTCGAAGACGCCCAAGATGGCCTCCAAAACGGCCCCAGAGCACCCCAAGCGGGCTCCAAGTCGGCCCAGAGAGGCCCCCAAGACAGCTTCCGAGGGCGTCAGACGGGCCAGGAGGCCACCAAGACGGCCCAAGATGGTTCCAAGACGGCCCAAGAGGCCTCCAAGAGGGCCTCCAGGAAGGCATGACGAGGCCAAAACCATTGATGTTCCTTAGATTGTTGAAGGATTTTGGCATTTGCGTTTGTTCAGTCTTCCGACGGCCCGAGACGGCCCGAAAGCCCCCACATATCGCCCCAAGAGCGCCCAAGAGGCCTCCAAGATGGCCCCAGAGCGGCCCGAGAGGCCCCCACGACGGCCCCAAGAGGGCCCCACGACGGCCCAGAGAGGCCCCCAAGAGGCCTCCGACGGCGTCAGACGGGCCATGAATGCCCGAAGGTGGCCAAACAGGCCCCCGAGAAATCCCACAGGCCCACAAGAGGCCCAAGGAGGCCCCCAAGATGCCTTCCAGAAGCCACCAGGAAGCTCCCAGGACGTCCCAAGAGTGCCCCCAGAGGCCTGCTCCTCATCCTCCTGATCTTCCCCGCCATCCCCCCCAAGTGTTCCCCGAGGTTTCTACAACGGCTGGGGGAACACATGGCCCGATAGCGTGGCAGATCTCTTGCCACAACGCTCGGCCACATGGGCGATTCCAGAAGGCAGGGGGCGGCGGTAATTTGCTAACAATTTTCCCCCCCCCCTCCCAGCAACCCTCCCGCCCTGCCAGTGACGGTGACGGGGGGGCGAGGTAAGGCATGCGGGTGAAGCGCTGTTTTTCCAGAAGGTTGGCTGCATCGTGAGGGTCGGGGAGGCTTGCCCTGCGGTTCGTTTGATCCCGCCCTAGCCTCCCCCAAGTCCAGCCGCCCATACTTTAGTGGCCTCCCCCCCACGTTTCTTCGACTGGTGGTCGAAGAGGTCAAGGTTCCTGCCAGGGCAGGGCGGGATGCTTTTGTGGAGTGGTCCGCGGGCCCGCGAACACGTTCTCATAAGCGCCGGGCAGTTTGACTGTGTGGCGGCATCATTGTTTCGCAGTGTACGTGACAACACTTTTAGAAGTAACGCGTTCATGCATGCTAGGCGAGGAAATTGGGACTTCCACACCACGTCGCTCTGTTTCATTCGTAAACGCCTTCGGCCTAAATCTATACAGAGAGAGAAGATACGAAAAACAGAGAGAGACACAGACAGGCAGGCTGACAGACAAACAGTCAGATAATGGTCACCTCCCTTCTCTTCACCCTCTCCATGCCCTAGAGAAAGAGGGAGGGCAGATAACGAGATAGATAGAGCGAGACAGGGAGAGATGGCAATACAACAGAAAACAAGCCAGAGAGGGAGAGAGAGAGGGAGAGAGCGATAGAAAGAGAGAGAGAGAGAGAGAGAGATGGAGAGAGAGGGAGAATGAGAGCAGGAGACAAAGGCCCCCTTGGCGCCTGAAGCCGCACCTGTGGCTTCTCCACGACTGGCATGCGCGGCTGATGTTCCCTGACCTTCGCTAGCACGATCCTCTGCTCCTCACGCTCCCATGCCTCGGGCTGCGCGACCCCCTGCTCCTCCTCCACGCACGCCGCGCAAATGTCCTCGGGGCACGCTTCGCAGAACCACCTGTACGCCGAAAGCTCGTCATTCGAGCCGCACTTGTCCTCGTTTCTGCAGTGCCAGCCACCAAGGTAGGGCCTGGGGGAGAACGATAGGGGGGGACCAGCTCAGAGGGGGGAGCATCGAGTCTGAATCGGCACCACACTACCAATAGATCGACCATGCGCCCCCGATAGCGAAACCGAAAGTCACTGGGCCAGGTGGGCTGTCGATCCCTATCTCTGCCATGAATAGCCGACCGGGGGTCGATGCGCCGCCCCCTGAGCTACCCCCCCCTTGACGTTGCCCCCGAGGGCCCCTCCGCGAAGTTGCTCCACGCCATCTCCCTGCCGCAGTCGGGGCACAACGGCGCCACGCTGCCCCCCTCGCGGCCCGCCTTGCCGCCGCCCTGCTCCTCCTCTTCCGCCTCGGCCCGGCGAGGGGGGCGCCGAGGAGGAATGCGAGGTGGGGAGCGGCCTGCGACAGGAAGGGGCTAGCTCAGGGGGGGCAGCATCGAGCTGGAATCGGCGGTGCATCGCCGATAGATCTGCGAAAGGCCCCGATAGCGAGTCCGCGCACTCTTGGGTGGTGTGTGGCGAACGGGCCCCTGATCGTCGATTCATGAGCGATTGGGTGTCGACGCAACCCCCCTCTGAGCTTGTCCCCCTGTCACGTTGCCCTTGATTCCTCAACAAAAGCTGGCGCAAACAAGTTGGAACAAGAACCGACATACATAGTACTATGCGTTCCCCTTGGAGGCGCACGTCCGCACCGAATTCATGGCGCAAGCATATGGTAGCACTATCGTTACCCAGGCGGCATGGCCAGACAGCAGATACTACAATGTGAATGAGCGCGCGGGTCGCCCATGGGGTGCCGATGCGCTCATAATAAGGAGTACGCCAGGGTGACGCCGATCACCCTGTCGCTTCCATCCCAAATCTGGTGCAAACAGCAGCGTCAAATCTCACAGGCCCTCTGGGCGTAGGTGGTAAAACGAGTTGTGTCTTCTCTTTGCCAACGCTCCCTCCCCATCCCCTCGGCTTGGGCTCTAAGAGGGCTTGAAAGATTCTAGAATTGCCCCCAAGATCCGACATACTTCCACGATGCCCCAGGACAGCCCCAAAATTGTTCCAAGAGCGTTCCCAGCCACCCAAGGAAGCCCCCAAGAAGCCAGCATCCTCCTACCACCGAAGGAATATCAATGCTTCTTGCTTTCTCGCCTTTTCGCTTCCAGACCTTAATCTGGCCCCAAAATGGCCCAAGAGAGCCCCTACAGTAGACCAAGAGGGCCCGAAGAGGGCCCCAAAAGCCCCCAAGAGCGCGCCAAGACCTCTTTTTGAGCCTCCGATGGGGGGGACCTGAACCCGGTACTCTCATTGTTTCAACCATGGGGCCCAAGGCGGCTCCAAGAGGTCTCCCAGAACCCCAGAAGAAACTCCAAGAGGGCCCTAAGACTCCCCAAAGGAGTCCCCAAAGGGCCTCAAGAGGCAGAAACCACTGAACTACCTAAATAACATCAATGTTATTGCATTATCGCTTCGCTTCTGGTGGCCTTCCGAGGCCTCAAGGTGGTTCGGACTGCAGAGTATTGCATGGACTTCGGAAGGTCATTGCAGGATATTTGCAGGGTCGTCGTAGGGACGTTGCAAGGGTATTTGCAAGGTCTTTCAATCGACTCGCAGAGCAAAAGCTCCTCGACGGTTTCATGGTTGACTCGTTGTTGCCGTCGTCGCCTTCATCGTCGTCTCCTTTTCCCTCCCCCACCCATTTGCTGATTCATCGGGCTTTCATGTCTTCCTCCTCCCGCTAGCGAGAAAGAGAAGCGCGAGCAACACTGCGGACTGCCGCGCGTATTTCTTTGGGGCGGCGCCTTGCCGAGCTCGCCTCATGGGGCCAAACGATGGCAGGGTTTTTTTTCGACATCCACGTCACACCTCCACATCCTCTGGTAAGTCCGAGGGCCAGAGCCAGCAGCGGAGGGGGATGCTGGCTCCCTGACGCAGACCAATAGTCTGAGTCATCAGCGCAAATGACCAGCTCGAGAGACCAAAGGGGTCTCTGCGTCCTGACGAAACAGCACAATGTGCACCTGCCGCAACATCTCAAAGAGAGGGGCATGCACACAGGGCAACAAAAACGGACGCCGAGCTGCAAGCGCAAAGACAAAACCAAATGCAGGGGTCCTGCAAATGGAGAGGCCATCTCGAACCGACTGCCCTGAGCTGTGCAAGAGGAGCAACGGTCGAGACAGCGCCCCGCCACGAGAGCCGAGATAGCCCCAGCGGCAGAGAGCCAGGAAAGCGGGGCGAGCGAACGCACTTGCGCACGAGGACGCCCGCCCAACTCAAACGAAGGAGAGATGTTGGGGCCAGGAGCCCCAGGCCCCTGGCCGCGGCAACGCCTAAACCCGAGTCGCAGTCGGGATGGGGCCACCCCCGTGCTCGGAGAAAGGAAGAAGCGCACCCTAGCTGTGCTCGTACCTTCCCCCTGAAACGGGGCGCCTGACACGCGTGCACGACGGGCGCACGCGCAACGAGACAGCGCGCACAATAGAAACTCCAAGGAACAAAACGACCACCCACACAAGGACGACGAGCCCGCAGCCCCTGGAGCAGCCAGCGCCAGGACGACCGTCGGCCTCGCCCCAGATGTGGGGTAAAACACGGATGCCTGCCGAAAGGGTCAGACGCATCGGGCCGCGCTGTCATAAACGAAAAGAAGAGGCGCACCCGCGCCAAGGGAAAAACTCGATTACCCACACAAGGACGACGAGGCCAGCAGTCCCTGGTGCAACCGGCGCCAGGACGACTGCCAACCTCGCCCCAGATGTGGGGTATAGCACGGATGCCTGCCAAAAGGGTCAGACGCATCGGGCCGTGCAAGAAAGAATAAATAGGAAGGGCGTCCCTGCGCCAAAGAAGCATTAATCCGAACTGTCCGACTCATCCTGTCGACGCCTCGCCAGGAAAGAAGGCTTGTCCCGTCGCAGCACTTGATGGGGTCCCTGCCTCATCTCCTGCTGAGGAGCCTCATCCTCAGGCACAGAACGAGCAACACCAGAAGCGCTAGCTGTTCGCTCGAAAAGGAAGCTAGACGCTTCCTCCTCAGCACCAAAGAGAGTCTCCCAATTTCCCGCACCGCCCCGCCCAGACTCCACCCCCCGCTCCACACCAGAGGGGGAAGAGGGAAGAGATCTGGCCAGGGGGCCAGCGGACACAACCGTGCCACATTCTTTAGAACATGTGAATTTCCCCTCATGAGCCCTAAGGAGGCCTCGCAAGCCACCAGTGGGCTGGGGGGGGTCCACAGCCCCAGAAGTGGGCTGCGCCATTAGCTGTAAATCCACCTGCTCGTCAAAGCCTGGCCTGTTGAAACATTCTACAAACGCATCAACATCCACAGACACACCGAGCTTACGACGAGTGTAGTGAGGGCGCTTGCCTTTACAAAACTGGACCCACGCAAGTCTGCCAGCACGAGTCGGGGGAACACAGCGCTCCGCCAAACCTCTGACTTTACCACCAGACGAGTAGCTCTTGCACCTCAAACAAATAAAAAGGAACGACTGGTCGGAGCACTCGAAAGCCAAGGTCGTGTGGCCAAGGCGATCCTGGTGGGCAGCGTGAAGCTTGCTGTCCAGAGGGCACCGGCCTTTGGTGGGGGGGACCAGGGCCCGACATCCTTTAAGACAAACCGAGCACCTCCAAATGCCAGACCAGCGAGCCCAACGATGGCCCGCAACGGCACTGGCTAATGCAGGCGGTGGCTGGATCCGTTCTATAGACGACAAATCAACCGAAGGCCACAAATGAATACCGCGCTGGCAACTTTAAGAGTAGCCTTCGCAAACTTAACCTGCCTATCAGCATCCTGAAGCAAGCCATCATCTGAAGGGTGAAGAAGAAGGGCCATTTTTCCCTCTACATCAACGAAAATGTTGCCAACGCGACGCCACCTCTCAGTAGCGTCAATGGTTGGGTCTTCAATGTCCTGGTGGGCAGCAACTTTAGAGCAACCAACGACCGAAGAACATTGACCATGGCACTGCAAAAAGGCGCCCGCGTACATCTTTTTGCCTGACAATTGCTTAGGCTTCGGACGACCAGCAAGCCGAACAACATTAAGGCAATCGGAATAAACATGGCAACCAGCGGGGCTCGTAGCTAAAACACTCGCCCACGTGAACGCACTGAACTCAGCGCTCTGGGGGTCTGAGGGTAAGGGCTCCAGACAAGGGCTCAAAACTCAGCCGCAAGAGTCCCATCGGAGTCAACCGTGCAGACAGAGCTAGCAGCACGCGTGAGCTCACGAACGGCATGACGGGCACAGGACCCGTCCACAAACAAAGCGCCCCAGACACGGTTGGTAATGGGCCCGCCATCTGGGGTCGAGTCGGGAGGGACTTGCCACGTGAGGAACAGACCATCATCAGACTCCACAGCAGGCCTGGGGTACCCGTCGGCGGGACGCCGAAAGGCTCCAGAGAGAAAGGCGAAGTAGCCTTCGAGGTCCCCAGAGGCCTTAGCGGCAAGAGCAGCATCAATGATCTCCTGCTTCACAGCCTCCAAACGGGCCTCCAGAACCTCAGTGTGCTGGCACTCCCACAAACGGTGGAAAACAGTGCCATGGGCACCACAGAAGGCACAATCGGGAGAGATGCAGTATCCTAACTCCTCCGCCTTAGCAGCAGTGAAAAAAAGGCCTCGGTGGCGAAAGCCCGAATCCTGGCCTTCTGCAGGGCCGTGTACTTTTTGGAGCTGGGAGACACAGCCTGGCGAACCACATCGTAACAAATCCTAGAAAGGATCCCTCGTTTGGCCGCAGAGTCACGTGCAAGCAGGCGGAAATATCCATCGCGGACCAGGGGCCTGACCAGGGCGGGGGAAAACAGGCCCAGGGAAATAAACCGACCAAAATCATCAACCAGGGTCATGAAATCCCTCATCTTCCAGCCAAGACGCACAAGAGACATACGGAGGGCCGTGACAGCCCAGACACAAGCCGCCAGGAACACCTGTCCTGAGAAAACACCGCTCTCCAGGTCGCGTAAGGGGCGGAAGACGGAGGGACCAGGGATAGGACGCAGTTTGGATTATCCAGGCCTCCTTGCTCCACCTGGTGATCGGGGCAGTAGCGGTGCGCCAAGTCGGATCTCCATCCAACAGCATGTCGTCAGAGACCTCAGCTGGCTGCGGGGACGCACAAAAAAAAGGGGGGGGGGGGGGGGGGAAATAAGGGAAACAAAAAAAACTGCGGCGTAGCAAAGCTAAGGTCGTGATCGCTTATGCCCGTGACCTCAGTGCCGTACGCAGCCCCAGCTAAGGGGCCAGACGAATAAACTCTAAGGGTGGCGGCTCTTGGAATCACCTTAGCTTGCTTGCCGAGGCGGCGCGCAGCACGGGCAGGTTTCGCCAAGCGAGACTTCATCTTGGCAGACTTACCAGCAACGCGCAGAGCCCTGCCCGCAGAGTAGTCAACCCCGAGGTTGACCGCGGACGGCGAGCAATTTTGACAAAGGTGGCTGGGCTGCTCGAGGACCTGGGACCCCACAGCCTTGGAACTGGCAACCAGGGCAGTCTTGTCGAGGGCGAACGAACAACCGAATTCTTGTTGGACGACCTTGTCGAGGACTCTAGCTCCAGCGGCTATGGACGAAACGACAAACCGAGACTTCCCCGTGGCCGAGAGCCCCTGGTCGTCAATATGAACGTCCAGGTCCGTGCCCATGGGCAGCGGAATCAAATCATACCCCTCAGCACAGTAAACACGAATGAGGGTAGTGGCCATAGAACAGCCCGCGATAACACCGCTGATGCAGAAATAAGGCCCGTCAAGGCACCCCCCGGGACTCAAGAATCTGCCACAGCGATAGGCATAAATGCACAGTCTGGCGATGACCGAGGGAAAGCCAAGCCTGTCACACCGATACTCCAGTTTGGCTAAACATATGTTCTCATAGAACTTCGAAAAGTCAAAAAAGATGCTGCAGCTGGCTTCCCCCCCTGGCTAATCCGCTCTCGGCGGCGACGACCTGTCTCCAAACGACGTCAGCTGCTCCACGAAACTGTCCAGCAGCCCAGTGCCGACGGGGGTGTTCCAACTCCCAGTCCAAGGCCAAGGAGCGCCTGCAGCGCCCCCAAAGCCTGAACCAGGAGCAGAAAACCCCTATCGGCCTGTAGCCGCCAGCTGGTTTCGGGAGCAAGGCGAGCAACGCCGCAGAAATCTGCGGCGGAAGACAGCCAAGAGCCTCAATCGTGCTGAGGATGCTGCTGAAACACTCGAGAGCCTCATCGCACAAAAGAGAAAAATGTCGACAGTGCAACCCGTCGACTGAAACAGCCGAGGAGGTCTTGTAGGATTTCGACATTTCACGGATCACCTGGGCCGAAAGTCTGGGAAGCGGAGCCAAAATTTGACCTGAAAAAATTAGCTCCATCGCCTTGGCCCCACAAGGCCGTGAAGCGGGATCCCTCCGCCTTCAAAAGGGAAAGCGGGTCCGTGACAATGCAACCGTCGGCCGACAGAGTGCTGCTAGCAGTCCACGGGGTGGGGTCGCGCAAGAGCATGTGCACACGCTTGGCACCCGACGAGAGACCGCTGGTGAGCCATGCCTTCCAGTCAGCACGACCTCTCGCAGCGTACTTGCCGTCGGCGGCCTGGGCGGCCTCGTGCACCTGAGTGTATAGGGCCGAGTAGGAAGCGTGGTCGGCTGAGGCCCCCACAGCGACAGCTACCTGCTCGAAGAGGGGGACGTAGTCCTCACGAGCAGCCAAAATCCCTGCAGGTGGCTGAAGCAGAAGGGACCTAAGCCGTCTCGACGTGTCCGACTCGGCATCAGCTCTAGAGGAATGAATTAGGGCTCTGAGCTGCTGGCCAAGCCAGCGGATAGCACGATGACCAGGGAAGCGGACCTCGGAACCTTTCGCCAAAATGGATTTCCAAACTAGCTGAGGACCCAGACCGCGAACACCCAAAACGGCGGGCGACGACCCAACAAGAGGGACCAGCTCGCGTTCAGCCGTGTCGGCCCAGGATTGGTACAACTTCCTCAATAACCTACGGGCGCCCTCGGCATTTCCCTCGTCAGTGAGGGTGAGCGCATAGTCGGCCATGGCCTTCACACCAGACCAGGCCTGAGGGAGAGGAGAAGGACCGATAACCCCCGTGCACGGCAGGGGCGGGGGCTTACGAAACGAAAGGGCTTTCAAGACCGCAAGCTTGGGGAAAAACCTGATTTCCACCGGCCGATGGGGCGAAAGCTCCGTGCCCAACATCGTCTCGATCCTCTCGATTCCCTTGGGCAAACCACACGACACCACAAAGAAATCGAAGGTGCTGGGAGGGCCAGTCGGGTAAAGTGCAAATGGCTGGCACAAGAAGCTCACCACGAAGCTCTTGAACAAATTGCGAGCCCTGCGCCTCCGCAGGCTCCATATTGAAATCAGCTCCGATCAGCCACGGGCAGGCCGATGAGGAGATGAACGAACCTATGCTGGCCAAGAGCTCCATGTTACGATCGGACATCCCTTCAGAGTGGAACAAGTAGGCCGAGGCAACCATGAAGGGGGGCGTCCCAGGCAGCTCGACCGAGCAGACATGGCCCCTGCCCCGAGACACAAGACCACCTGGAAGGTCCCGACGCCCAAGCCAGCTGCGCACGAAAATCGCCCCCCCCCCACTGGTATCTCCCGCCTCGGTGGCCGAAGCGGGCGCCCACACTGATTTCCACCCTCGTCGGCGACACCAGGCGCTAGCCTGACCGATATCTTCAGCAGAAATCAGACGGTGCTCTTGGCAGAGCACAATGTGAGCGTTACATCCCGAAAGAAGAGAACGCATGGTGCCCCAAGGGTTAGCGTTGATGGTCTGAACCTGCAGGGCCACAGAGTCCGCCTGCCGAGGGCTATCGTGCAATAGATCAGAGCTGTCAGCATGCAAAGCACTGGGCGCCGAATCAGCACCAGCACTGCGTTCTGAGACCGTACAACGAACTTTCCGAGCAAATGGTGGGGACGGGTCCTTACAACACGAGGCCCTTGGCCCAGGCAGCGGAAGCCTGACCAGGGTAGTGCAGCCAGGAGCTTCTTTGACCAGCGAGCTCACTGGATACACAGCGGACGGCTTGGCAAAATCAAAGGGAACTTGCCGTCGAAACGAGAAGTCACACGAGCTAGCGGATCCTGGCGACCCAGAAGCAGCATCAGCACGAGCGAAGAGCGAGGACCATCTGCTCGACGAAATACACTGCTGCAGAGGGCGCGGCATCTGCGCGAAGAGGAGTGGCATGCCTCGCTTTAACCAGAGGGCATGCCTAACCGCCGCAGCTGAGCAGGCTCCGATGGTTGAATGTTGAAAAAGACATCATCGACCCCCCTGCGCTGAGTTCGTCGACAGCCCGAAGCGGCCAGGAGAGCCCGACCCAGGACCAGACGACCCGAGGAAGGACGACCAGAAGCCACGAAAAGCATGCCAAATCAGACGAGCGCGCAGGGGGGCCCTAACACCCAGGCTTGCCACTGCCAATCTCGTCAGACCGTGCACGGGCTGCGGCGGCGTCATTAGCCTCACTGGAATCAGGAGCGGCTGCGGCGGCTGCCGTCCCAGCCCCAGGGGCCGCTGCATCACCTCCATCAGCGCCAGGGGGGCCAGCCTCGGCTCCGCCAGCCTGTTCATCTTCAGCAATGCGACGTTTCTTCTGAATACGCTCCGCGTGTGCAGCATGCTCCTTCTTGATCGCGTCCACCTTGGCCTTCGCCTGCGAGAGCAGGTCCTTGGCCAGTGAGCTGACTCCCGTCTTGAGCTGCTGCACCCTTGAGTCGAGTTCAGTCGGATCCTCCGAGGACAAGTCATGACCATCCAACTTGAATAGATTACCGAAGTCAATGTCGAAGAACGAGGAAAGCTTCGATTAGTCAAAGAGGATGTCTGCTGAAATGCGCGGCACGGAGGCCTCCTGCGGCAAGGAGGAGTGGAGCTTCTGGACCAACTGCTTGTGCTGCTCCTCAGCCTCGGCGAGCGCCGCGCGAAGCTGTACCGCCACGTCGCGCTGGGCTGCCAGCTGCTGCTCCAGAGTATTGTACTTGCCCACCGCCTGCACCAGCTTGCGCTCGATGCCTTTGGCGCGCTGGTGGGCTTTGTTGAGCTGTACCTGCGTCGACTCGGTGACAGACTTCGGCTCAGTGAGGGCCTTGGCTGCAACACGGTGGGCTCTGGCGCCAGCCCTGTCACCGAGCTTCTCGCACAACGTGGCAAGCTGCTCGTACTCCTCGGCAGAGAGCGGCGGCTTGGATGAGCCGCCAGACCCACCAGCGCCACCTTTCCCCCCTCCTTTGCCACCAGGTAATGCCCCTGGCGAGCCGAGAGCACCAGCTGGAGGTCGGAACGAAGGGGGGCCTGCAGACCACGGAGAGCTTGAATCAACCTTCGAGGCCGACTTGAGCGAGCCGCAGTGCTTGCAGAAATAGAATCTGGATTCGTTCTTACCGCATCCACATAATGAGCTTTTCCAGCGATGCCCCTTGTTGGACTGATCACGGCGAGCGCCATCACCAGCAGGACGAAAGGCAACTTGCAACCCTGGCGTGAGCGGCGGCCACTGCTCTCGTTGGCCACCTGGTGGCTGCTGTGGTGAACTCCCCCACGACCGATGCCATGGTGCCCGCGAGAACCTGTGCTTGCCGCCCGAGCCTGCGCCGCCAGCCATCGCTGCCGAGGAGACGTGATGGTTGCGACGATATACGAAAGGATGAGGGCGAGCCCTCGCGAAAGCAAACCGAACCAGAGGCCCGCAACAGCACTAGGCCGTTCTGAAGGCATGCTGCTGCAAGCTGAGGCTATAAAAGCCTGAGCCAGAACGGCTTCCTTGAGCCAAAATGGCTACGGACGATGGCAGGGCGCGCCGAATTTGGGGCGCTTGACATGCGGATGGCCCGCGGGAGCTGCAGGCAAGCGGCAGACAGAACAAACAATTCCAAGAGCATCGTAGGAGTTGTCGTCGCGGCGGTGGTCGTGCGCGGCCGTCGTGGTGGTGGTCGTATCGGTCGTCCTTGTTGCGGTGGTGGAGGCAGTGGTTATGGTCGTGGGCATCGTGGTGTCGTCAAGGCGGCGGTCGTGGCGGTCGTGGTGGAGGAGGTGGTGGTCGTGGTCGTGGTGGGCGTCATGGAGGTGGCGGCATGGTCGCTGTGGTCGTGGCGGTGGTCGACTTGATGGTCGCAAAGGTCGGGGTGGTGGCCGCGTTACTTGTCGTCGTACTAGCGGTGCTGGCCGCGTTGGAGCGGGTAGTGGTCGTGGAAACGTGGTCGTTGTGCTGCCAGTTGGGAGGCAGCATGGCTTTTCACGTCGCACTGAGCAAACATCTCAGCGCTCCCGAAAGCCGAGCAGCGCTGGATCTTCCTGCAGGTTGTGGAAATCACGCCTGCCCGCTCGTTCTCTGGCAAGTCGCGGCCGCAAGAGCGGAAAAGGCGACCAACTCGTCGGCCAGTCGGCTCCCTGACGCGAAGACGGCCAGCACCAGCATCGCACCAGGAGGAGAGTAGCGCGCCCGCTTCCTGTCAACCGCCTGGACAGCCGCCACCCCGTCTGTGCGAGCCCTAGTCTCTCTCTATCTCTCTCTCTCTCTCTCTCTCTCTCTCTCACTCTCTCTCTCTCTCTCGCTTTCTCTTTCTCTTTCTCTCTTTTTTCTCGTAGATATCAGAATGAAGGGGCCGAGCGGTCATTCATCCTCCCTTGGCGTACGACTGACCTGAGGTTTCGAAGCGCGGATTGACCTTGTCGTTGCGTTGTTCTTGCGTTGGCTTCGCATTTCCACCAAAAATCTTGAGCCACCCTGTCCGGTGACCGTTGTGCTTTTCAATTGAAGTGCCCTCCAAGGGGCTCGCACCTTGTTTCTGCCTGCGACGCCGCGTTTGTTCCACCCCGCGCATTGCTGTTTGCGCGGGCTCACCGTCCTTGGTCCGATGCTACTGCCCAGAGAAAACATGCGATGTCACCAGCAGCCTCTGTTCGGCCCCAACCAAACAGCACCACCAACACCACCACCACCACCACCAACAACAACCACAACACCAACACCACCACCACCACCAACAACAACAACAGTAACAGCAACAACAACAAAATCAACACCAGCAGCAAACACCTTGAGACTGTTCGCTTTATTTGCTCGCGTGCCATTCATCGCGTATATCGCAAATACTCGATGCCCGCCCTCTTCGTCTTCGATTGTACCCCCTTCGGGGTAGATCTTTCTTACCAGCAACGCTTATTTCCTGCGGCCCCTACGGCAAGGGGAAAGAGGGCGGACGCAGGGAATGGGACAAGAGGGGGGAGCAGGATGGAGCACGAGAGAGCGTAGCAGGAAGAGAGACGAGGAGCAGAAAACACGCGGCAAAACCAGACAGGCAGATGGGGCGTGTAGACCCTAACAGGCGAATCGGGAAGGCGGGCCCGGGCGGCCAGGTCGAGCAGGCGGGTTGCTGAAACGTGCGGCCTGCATGAATCGCGAGGCAGTCTCGAGCGGCGGCGCAATCCCCAAATACATCGCGCGGAAATCCAAAGCGAGAGCGTGGTTCTTGAGTGTCGCGGGCGCGGCGTCTGCATACATTGGGGGGGGGGGGGTCTTGCGCGAGAGCGCGATTTCTGCACGCATTGTGAGATAGTCCGACGCGGCAGCGCGATCTGGGAATACATTGTGAGGAAGTAGCAGGCGGGAGCAATCGTTTTGGTAACTCGGGGGCCGGAGGCGCAGTTTGACAACCTAAGATTTTCTTGATCAAAAAGAAGGCGCAAGCTCCGGGAGGGGCACTTCAATCGAACAATAACATGTGCACTGCGCGGGGCCACGCAGGGCCCCGAGGGGCGTATAATGCGGGGTCAAGAACGGCATTCAGTTTGACAGCGCGGGGCCACGAAGGGCATATAATGCGGGGCCACTGAGGGCAGCAACGGGGCCACTGAGGGTAGCAACGGGGCCAAGAAGGGCAGCGAAGGGTAACGGGCTGGCCGGGCGGGCAAGCCCGACGGGCGGGTCAAGCGGGCGGGCCGTTGAAGCGTCAATCCTGCTTGCGTCGCCAGGAAGTATTTGGCAGGAGCGCGACTCCGCGAGAGCGCGACTCTTGAGTGTCGAGGAGCGACATATGAAGAAATTGTGAGGAAGTCTCAAGCGAGAACGCGGTTCCTGCGTAACTTCCAGGGAAGCCCCAAGGAAAAACCGGATTTCTCATTAAATTGCAAGGACATGCAAGAAAGGAGCAGCTGTTGTTGTAACTCAGGGGCCAGGGGAGCAGTCTTTGGGAGTCCAGGGAGGGGCGCTGCACATGAAAAATATCATGTGCACTGGGCGGGGGGATCAACAATAATTCTTTTTCAGAAATGCGAATTCAACAACGGCAACAAAGCAAACAAACATTAGCCTAGCGATGAGCCCAACAATATGCAGCTGCGAACGCCCCGTTGTGGAGCTCCCGATGGGGGGGTGCCGAAACGGGTGGCCCAGGCGTGCGCAGGCGGTTGTCACTGGGGTCTTCGGTGGAGCTCCAAAATGAAGCCACGAAGCGTGTGAAGGGTGTGCTGAAATCGGCGACGCGGCCACTGGGGCCTTCGGTGGAGTTTCCTGTGGGGCCACGAAACGCGCGGTGGGTGCGCCGAAATGGGCATGCGGTGGGCGGGGGGCCGCATGCGAACGCAGCCGCTGGGGCCTTCGGTAGAGCTCCCGGTGGGGCCACAAACCGCGTGAAGGGCGCGCCGGGATGGGCGCGCGGTGGGCGGGGGGGGCGCATGCGAACGCAGCCGCTTAGGCCTTCGGTGGGGCCTCTATGGAGCCACGAAGCGCGTGAGAAATATGCCCAAATGGTCATGCGGTGGGCGGGGGGGCGCATGTGAACGCGGCCACTGGGGACTTCGGTAAAGCTCCCTATGGGGCCGCGAAGCGCGTGGGGGGTGCGCCGGAATCTGCGTGCGGTGAGCGGGGGGGCGCATGTGAACACGGCCGCTGGGGCCTTCGGTGGAACTCTTCATGGGGCCACGAAGCGCGCGAGGGGTGTGCCGACATGGGCATGCGGTGGGACGCATGGGAACGCAGCCATTGGTCGGGGCCTTCGGTAGAGCCCCCTTGTGGGGCCACGAAACGTTTGAGGGGCGTGCCGAAATTGGCGCGCGGTGGGCGTGGACGGGGCGGCGCATGCGAACGCAACCGCGCGGGCCTTCGGTGGAGCTCCTTATGGGGCCACGGCGCGCGCGAGGGGTGTGCCGAAATGGGCAGGCGGTGGGCGGGAGGACACATGAAACCGCAGCCACTTAGGCCTTCGGTGGAGCTCCCTACGGGGCCACAAAACGCGCGTAAGAAATATGTCCAAATGGGCATGCGGTGGGCGGGGGGGCGCGAGTGAACGCGGCCATTGGGGCCTTCGGTGGAGCTCCCTGTGGGGCCACGAAACGCGCGTGGGGGGCGTGCCGACATGGGCATGCCGTGGGCGGGGGGGCGAATGTGAGCGCCGCCGCTGTGGCCTTCGGTAAAGCTCCCTTTGGGGCCACGAAGCGCGCCGGGGGCGTGCCGACATCTGCGTGCGGTTAGCGGGGGGGCGCATGCGAACGCAGCCACTGGGGCCTTCGGTGGGGGGGGGGGGAAAGTGGAGGGGGGAGTAGAGAAGGGGAGGGGGGGGGGAAGGGGGGGGGGGAAAGGGGTCGCCCAAGCTATGTGCGCTCGCGTCATATCTGACGTCCTACCCCTCCCTCCCATCCCTTGCCACGGCGCTGATTTTCTCTATCCGCGGGCGCGTGTCGTAGCGGACCTGTGGCTCCGCGCGCGCGTGCGTAGTGGATGGTGGTGCGCGTGCGTGCGTGCGTGTGTGCGTGGTTGTGGTTATGGTTATGGTTATGGTTGTGGTGGTGGTGGTGGTGGTGGTGGTGGTGGGTGTGGGTGTGGGTGTGGGTGTGTGTGTGTGTGTGTGTATGTGTGTGTGTGTGTGTCTGTGTCTGTGTGTGTGTGCGTGTGCGTGTCCGAGTGCGTGTGTGCGCGTGTGCTGTGGTGTGACGTGGTGTGGCGTCTTGGTGGTTTGGTGGTGGGCCAGGTGCGTGCGTCCGTGATGGCGGTGGTGGTGGTGATGTGTGTGTGCGTGTGTGTGTGTGTGTGTGTATGTGTCTGTGTGTGTGCGTGCGTGCGTGCGTGCGTGTGTGTCTGTGTGCGCGCGCGCGTGTGATGTGGTGTGGCGCGGTGTAGCGTCGTGGTGGTGGGTGGGGTAGTGGGGTGGTGGTGGCGGTGCGCGTGCGTGCGTGCGTGCGTGCGTTGGCGGGTGGAAGTGGCGGCGGGCGAAGCTGGGCGCGGCGCGGTGGTGGCGGGCGGGCGGGCGCGCGAGAAAGAGGCCCGCGCTGGGGCGAGAACGCCATCCTGAACGACGGAGGCAGAACACCGATCCGACAATGAGACCCACGCTGCAGCGGGGGCACGATTCGGAACGAGCGGGGCCTGAAAATGAGGCCGGCGCCTCAGCGGGAGCAGCATGTTGGAACAAATGCAGGCGAAAACCCAACTCCCGGGAATCCTGTGTGTAACAAAAACAAACGCGGGGGGGGCGAACACTCCCAGCGCGTCATCAGGGGAAGAGGGAGAATTGCATTCATACTGAGTAATTGTAAATGGAGAAGAGCAGGGGCGCGATGGGAGGGGAGGGGAGGGGAGGGGCATCGGGGGGAGCGGGAAAAACCAAA